GAATACCTGATACACGAACTTTTTCGAGAAAGATCATATTCTCTACTTCGAGTAGATCTGCTTAGAGCAAATTTTGCGAGAAATTAAACTGCCATCGTCTTCTGCACTCAGCAATCGTTTCCCATAAACTGTACGCATCCCATTCCCTAACTCGTTTTGTGGAACCAACAGAAGGGGCGCTCCAAAAATTTTCAGAAAGCTCCTTTAATCCAAAGGTTTCGAGCACGCAACTTCTCCTTGCTCAAAGAAACCACCGGATTTTTAACATAATAGTGAAGCAGCATTGCTAGAAGTAGGTCAGTCGATGTTATTGCTTTTTCCGTATTGCAGCTGATTAAAGGAATTGTCTAAATAGAATCGTTCATTAACAGAGATCAACTAGCCTAGATGAAATAAAAATTCCCACCATGCATGTGAGAGATCCTTATAAAGCCGTCACATGACCAGTTCTATAAAATAGGTCTAAACGTGGAAGTATGGGCTGGTAGTTAGGCTTGAATGTCAACTGTCCAACTTCGGCTCAGGACCAGATAGTTACATACACACGTTTGTAATTTGAAGATGATAGATGGGCGGAGCTTAATATTTTTTTAAAACCACGAAATGACAATAATCGAAAAACAGTTGAATAATAACAATACACACTCGTTTATTCAAAGTTAAATTATGGTGCTATATTTCCGCAATATGGATGAACACCAAATTTCTTTCTTGCTTGATCGTTCTTACATGAACTTTATCACTCTCATCTGCACTTGAAAACTTCATGGATACCTGTTCATCGTTCAGTACCGTCGAATGAGCTTACATTCATGATGCCGCACATAAAACATCATACTTAATCGGTGCCGAAGTACTTTTGCCCAAAATGCATAGGGATAACAGGATCGATCTCAGCCGTCACGATATGCATCTGCGAAAATCTTGAATGGATTGATCGTATGCCTGAAACAGACTGATTATTGAGCAGCAACATGCACATGAACGAAAAACAGCAGCAAGATATGTTAGAGAAGCAAAGACAAAAAAATTCATTCATTTTACTTTACACTAATTGCTGCTTAATTTAATGAACAGGTCGGTGATGATCTCTATTAGACCAAAACAAATTAAGGAGAATTTCAGATTCCATGGATCTGTACATTTCAACCATTGCAGGAAGAGACAATTAGTATTTCAAGTAGCAGCATATATTCTTTGGCATGTCCATATTCCGAATTTAACTCTGTATCTGGAAAATAATGGATTCGTGTCCCTACGCGGTGTAAAATCTTTTCATTAACTGGTAATAGTCTTCAACAAAAAATTCAGCCCAGTGTGCTTCGGTACAACCATATCTGTGACTTGCAAATAATAGGGATAGCACGGCATTCTGGAGTAGTCACGCAAGGGCTTGCGACACTTCTTGCCTAGCTGTCTGAGACGTGCACTCTCACTTTAAGGCGATAATTAGGACTGACCCGCTGATAACTAGCAAAACTCAGTGCAATTTGTGAACTGTAGAGATGAAGAAAAAACCAAAACATGGCATCTTTAGAATAACGCAAAATAAACATTTGCGCAATTTAAGAATTTTTTCAGGGCAAAATTAGTGTCTAATGGCATCAGCTGCTGCTGACTTTAGGGTATGCAGTTATCACCGTTAATTAAACCTAATGCTTAACCGTAATTAATCGTAACCATTAAGCATAATCTAATGACGTCTGCTAAAAGGTGAAGTGGGTCCAATTTCAGGCATGTTCCACTGCATGCATGAAGGGACGACTACAGGTATAAGCTACCAAGACACGATAAATCCATATTCGACTGCCGTGGCCATAACCGGAACGCAGATAAAGATACACGAAAATGAAACTTTAATACCGATTTTCCCCAATAACTCATAGGTTTAATATGTGAAAAATAGATGGTGTTCGCTGCATTCCAATACGGCTAAAAAAGCATGAACTTCAGAAAAATGCAATGCAAATCATCATTGTTTTACAGTGAACCAGCTGCAGGATGCAAGCTACGAATCGTCTGTACGTGAACGATAAGTCCATTCATGCCAAATATCTTATAAGCAGCGATCCAAAATCACAGCATTACAAGGCGACATATCATTTAACTGATCTAACTTCATAAGTTTAGACCAATTAAGCCAGTTTCGTTGGCAAGAACAATGTAGACAGTCTCACAGGATAATGAATTCGATGAAATGAAGAAGGTCGAAATTGAAAAGAAACGTTTCATGGGCCAACAAATCTGGAAACTGCGACATTGTCCATTGTCAGCTAATTAGTCAACCGAGAGACATGCACTTCGCTCACTTAAGCATGACAGGAAATTTCGAAAGAATCAGTGCATCGATCTCTGAGCGAAGGTGAAGCAGGTTTTCCCGTGCCTGCCATTAACAAGTTCAGCTGGCATTTACTCGACTGTTTGGGAACCCCATGGCTAGAATATGTTAGAGCTAAGAGCAAAGTCTGAGGTACGTACGCCATGAATTTTTCAACACTAAGCGATGCAAAAGAATAACTGTACAATGATCGCAGGTGATCTAGTTCCCACCGTGACTGATAACCTCTTTC